GGTGTAGTTGCCTTAGGACTTCCCTTTTGGAAAGTTGCCAGACTTGATGAAGTCTATGGACTCTCTCCCCTATTTCTGTTTCTGTTTTTCACTTTTCTGATTTATTCCTTCTTATTGTTCTCTTTCCAGTGAGTGACTGGGGACAGTCACTTTTTGAGTTGAGAGGAGGTGACGAGCCTGCTCGTCACAAGTCACAAGTCACACTTTGTCACCCAGTTTGATTTCCTATTTTAGTTTCCACTTCCTTTTCTAGTTGCCATTTCCTACCTTAGTTTCCATTCCCTATCTTTCCTGACTTTGTTGCTCATTTTCCATTTGATTTTAGTTTCTATTTCATTTAGCCCTTATTTATCTAGTCTATAAAAGCCTGTCCATAGCTAGTAGTTAGCATCATCCTCCCCAGTGCTTCCCCTCCCAGTCGTTCCCTTCTGAGTTTGAGTTCTCTTTTGAGTTCTTGAGTTCTTGGTGTTGAGTTTCCTGAGGAGTTTGTTAGCTCTGAAGGCACTTGCACACTTAGTCCTTGTTTGTCTTTTGGCAAGCAAGCCCGTCAAAGGTTGGCAACCGTGTTTGGTCAGATGCCTCTGACATCAGGACTCACCCCTTGGAAAAGTTCTCCCACCGCCACCTTGAACCAAGGGGGAGGGGAAAAAAAAATTAAGGAACATACACACTAAAAAAAATTTAAGGGCTCACAGCCAGACCAACCGACCGTGACATGCGTGACAATTGCCTATTTAGGCAGGTATTTCACAGGATCATGTGATTGACTTATCTGGAAATAATGCTCACAACTTGTTGTACTATGTCTAGCTCCTCATTATGGCTGCTATAAGAAAAGAATAGCTACAGGATTGGACTTGTGTCCACAGTCCAGAACCCAGATATGTGCATTTGAGATGCATCAGGTCACAAATGTGACAATACTCACCAAATATAGAAGTTTATTGATAAGATGCAGAGAATTGTATGTATAGCCTTATATTACACTGAGAACCTATGAGAACATCTCCTTACACTTATTGATTGATGTCTAATACTTCAAAAAAAATTAACTACAAAAAAAAATTAAGGTCCACTGGGGGGACCGACCAACCGGCGTCATGTGCATTGATGCCATCACACTTCCCCCTTGCCTTGAACCTTTCAAGATAGTCGTGGAGATTAGCAAAGGTGCCTACAGGCTCGACCTCCCTCCACGCTACTTGAAGCTCCACCTGGTCTTCCCGTTAATGAGCCATCAATATGACCACCATATGAATGATAACATATGGACCCCATAAATTCATTTTCATGCACAATAGCTATGGAACATATGAAGAATCTCAGAATAAATGTTGCAAACTTTTGAATCAAATCTATATGCACCCGGCCATAAGGTCTAGGCCTGCTCTAGGCCAGGGACCAGTCTAGACTCCGAACCGAACCAAGGGTAAGATGTCCATAGTTGGCAAGTCTGACCCAAGACCTATATTAGAACCTTCCAGAAGCCTGAACTAGAACATTCTAGAACCGGATCAGTGGATCAAGTCACATCATCACAGATTATGTAATTAATTTGAGAGTAGTATATAAGGAGGCCTGTAAAACCCTAGATTAATAGATTAGCCCCCTGGGTGTGACTACTACCATTGTCACATCAGTCAAGTTTTGTCACACTTCACATATTGTCAGGTTAAGATAAACGTCAGGTTAGGTTATGTGCAAGTGCAAGTGCAAGTGCAAGTGCAAGTGCAAGTGCTAGGAGAGTAGAGCCATATTGCTCCTCTCAAATTTCAACTCCTCACCCAACATCTGCTGTTTTCCAGTTCATCACAGTGAAAACTCCAATACAAGCTCATACAACATTCCAACTGTCAATGGATACTAACCAGAACATCTGAATCTGTTAGCCGTTTCCTGCGGCTCAAACCCCAAACACAAACCGCACAAAATTAGGATTTGATTAGTTGAGTTGAAGGTCCTGGTGATCTCCTTGATTGCTCATTGTCTACATGTATTACCGTCATCAAGCTTGAGCCCACCCAACATGACTCCTTCGATGGACGCCCCGGCTATGACGCACCCCCTCCGGACCTCAAAGATGGAGTCCCAAAGTAGGGATGCAAGGGTGAGGGATAAACGGGTAAATTACTTTGTCAGATGGAAAGGCTGCGACATGTCGCACAACCAGTGGGTCTGCTTCGACCATGTCTTCGCCCCGGAGGAAATTGGCAAAGTTTTATTGTAAGTACCCTGGCAAACCACAGCACATCGCCTCTGAAACCTTTGACTTGATTCTGTTCTGGTCTATGTGTCGTGACACCACATTCAAGGGGGGGGATGTCAGGGGAACCTCCCTTCCGGCCCCTCAGAGACGTCTCCGATTCCGGTCCAATTCTGGTTCCAACTCCGGTCCGACCCTCCATCTCGCCCACACAATCACTGATCCGTCAACACCCTCCCAAATCTCACCTAGTGGAGTTCTGGAACACCAGTTCATGCAACAGAGCATGACCACCATGATACATCTGACTGTAAAATGTGCACACAGCTGCAGGGTCTGGAGTATGGACAGTGCCTGGGTACCAAGGAGATGAGGCCCAGAAACACGGCTGTGTTTTATGTGCTTGATGTGAGGGTAATGACAGACAGGCAGACGCTGGCACAAGAGGTTTGAGTTGACACAAGGGTGTATATGTAAGCACCAGTGCCATCACTGATACTTTCCTAATTTAACAGTGTGGTCAGTTCCCTCCTGAAAGACTCAAAAGTTTAATTCAAAAGGACTTGGCAAGTTCAAAAACTGTCTACAATATTTGAGAGCTGTTTCAAAATCTCTGAAGCTCATTTTTTGCCACTGCTGCTAATCTCTATGAGGGAAACAATGGATCATTTGTGCAACAAATTTTAAAGGTCAAAAAATTTTAAAGGTCAAAAAATTTGAAACATTTGACTAGCAAGAATGTTGAAAAACACCTTGAATTTTTTCTTTCAATTTTTTTTCTTAGCAAAAACAAACTCAAAATTATGGTCCTAGTTTTTCTCTGTATTATGGCGGTCAAAGTGGGGAAGTATTAATTTTGCACACACTTTGTAAAAAATTGAGTTTTCCGCAACATTTTGAACAAAAAACTGTTTTCCGCAACTTTATTTCCTAAAACTGTCAGAAAGTTGCGGATCACACCCATTCCGAAAATCCGCAAAACATTTTCAAAAGTCCATATTTTCCGCAGCTTTTATTTCTCGCAACACTTTTCGCGACTTTACCTCGGCACAACATTTTCCTCCGGAACTCCGCCAGCGACTCAGGTGGCTCTGTCTGGTCAGCTCCAGCCTCCAACCCGCTGGCGACGAGTGGTGGCTTTGTGCCAACTCAGCCAACCTGGCGCGCCAAGCTCCCTGGCCACGGTGTTGCTCCGGATCGATTGCATGCGCACATGACACCCGGCGATCGTTTTCTCTACTTAGTCTCTACACACTCTCCGCGCACACCCAACCAGCCTGGCTTTCCTCAAGAGCATCTCCGTCCCCCTCTCTATCGCTTCACTCGACTGAGGACCAACCAATTCACCATCTATGACCCCCCGTTCCGAGTCCCCTCAGGCACCATCTCAGACGGAAAAAAGGCCGCCTTGCCGTTCTGGAGCTGGGATACGCGGGAGCGTGTAACCAGCCAGCAACAGCCTTGTCCTCCGCCAGCGGCTCTCTTCTGCTTCGAAGACAAGAGGACTGCTTGCCCTCTCAAAGACGAATGCAGGAGAGTGAGAGAGGAGTGTGGCCACTGCGAACACGTCGTTGTTCTGGCCTCGGTCCTCGGTCCTGCTTTCTCGGCGGCCTCGGCTGGCCCCACGGGTCCACTGTGGCAGTACTCTCTGCTCTCATGTCCCTGCCGACTTGCACTGCGGCCGCGCAGGCTCCCGGGCCGTCGCGAACGCCGATTCCGATATGGGGGGGGAGGGGCGGGGGGGCTGCGAATGTGCCTAGAGTGGTGGTGCTACTAGCAGTGGCACACGGGGCGACGGCTCGACGGTGAACCTAGGCCTCCGGCAGCGGAGGCAGTTCACGTATGTCCAACCTATTATGTCCGGCCCCACCCGGGCCATCGGCATCCGGCCCAACTTGCCCGCCTCAGCGGTCGACGTGGGGAGTCCCGGGCGCTGCAGCACGCCCAAACCATCTATATCGCGGTGCTGTCTGCAAGTGGCCGAAAAGCGACCGCCGACCGGCCGGTCACTGGCATTGTCCCGGATGCCCCCCCGCCGGCGAGGAGATGAGCGGCGACGCCGGCGGTGGCTATAGGATTTAACTTAGCTATTAATATATATGGAATAATATTTGGCTGTTCTTGCGAGAACTTGAAGCAGATAGTGGGAATGACTGATATTGAAGAGTTGCGGATTGATTAATGTTGCGAGAAATAAAAGTTGCGGAAAATATGGACTTTTGAAAATATTTCGCGGATTTTGGGAACGGCTGTGATCCGCAACTTTTTGTCAAGTTTAGAAAATAAAGTTGCGGAAAGTAGTTTTTTGCTCGAAATGTTGCGGAAAATTGGAATTTTTACAAAGTGTGTGTAAAATTAATACTTCCCCACTTTGACCGCCATATCTGTATAGTCTCACATTTTTCTTGGTAATTATGGATAAAAAACCTCAAGTTTTTTCTCTAACATTTTATAGGCAAAAGTTGCTAAAAAAAGTACAAATTCTGACCCAGAAAAAACTCGTTGAAAATTTTAATTTTTTTTTTTGAACTTTTCAAGGGAAAAATTGTGGAAACAGCCCAGTGCAGCTGACTCTTTCGGCTAGTCACATTTGTCTTTGACGCTGCAGTGGTTCAAATGACCGGGTGCGTATTTCCTGGCAGAAACTGCGACCGCTAGGCCGACGCCAGTGCTTCTAATCAGGATGCAATGTTGCATTTGCTGGTGAATTCCGTAGTTGACCAAAAAAAAAAACTACTCTCATGGAATTTGAAGCTGGATGACACCAAGTAGTACATTGTTTAAGAATACTATTGGCCTAAAGCGCAATGGTGCGCTGGGTGGCCATCCACGCCGTCACGACCGCGCGCATCTGTTGCACATTCCCCGCCGCGCTCGCCGCGAGGTATGCTGCCACTGTTGCCGCGTCCACCCCGAGCTCCTGCAGCATCGTCTGCGGGATGGTCGGGTCCCACGGCGGAGCGGGCGGGTACACGAGCGTGAGGTACATCGTGTCGACGTCGCCGGGGGTTATTTGCCCCTCAGATATAGTCGGCCCGGCGACGCTGGGGTCCGTGTTTAGCCCCGCAGGCATGAAGTATCTGGCATCAGATGCAGATGTCAGCGAAGCCAAGCCCGAAAGAAAAGAACGCATACCGCATGATGGACACCGCGTTCGGCGCCGCGTAGTTGGTGAGGCTCGTGGCGTTGTACACGTCGAGGATGTGCCGCTGCACAAGCGCGCGGTCCCAGCCCATGGTGTACTTGTAGTACGAGTAAACCAGCTCGGGGTTCAACGTCGGGCCATTCTTGGGGCCAGCATGTCTGTCATCGTGTCAATCAAGGACGCTGAGACGGCATCTACAGACTCGTGGTACAGCCCCAAAACATGGAGAAAGAGATGCGTAACAAGCATCTGTTCCTGGACCTCCAACGTCTGGCTTGCCTCAAGCGCGCTGATATTCATCGTCGCTCGCGGCGCCTGCACCTTGAGGCACGCAGTGCCAACTATATTCGTTAGTTAACACGACAAAAAACGTGCACTTCCCCACCATAACTCCACGAGCCGACACTTTCGTCGAATGAAATCCGCACCATGCCGTCCTGCGGAACCTGCACAAACGTCACATTCACGAAATTCAGCCTGTTCACAGCCTCAGCAACGCAAACTGCCTGTGTATTGAAGCCCCACAGATGCAACGCGACTACCGACACCTTGCTGCGGATGTCGTCGTCGCCCGAGATGAACGAATACGTGATTTGCTGTCCGTTGTTCCAGAACTGCTGCAGCTTCTGCCCGAGGGAGCGCGCGATCAGCGCCGTCGGGCCTTGCGTTGCACAGATCGCGCGCTCCAGGCTGAACGGCGCGCGGAGTTCGTCCTCGGGGAGGTTGATAGTGCAGGTCACATCCTAGGCAATTTAGCCGAGCTGGTGAGGCAGGAAGAAAAGCTGACGTTGATCGTGGCTGGCGTCACGGGCGTCGCGGTGAGTATCGGCTGGTTAGGCTTGAATGGCCCCGCCACTGCTGGTGTTGTTTTCTGGGCGGAGGGAACAGCTGTAGGTGCCGTGGTCCCTGTTGTGCTTCCTACGGGAATGTTAATGAGATTAATTCGAGTTCAGCGTCATTTTACCGCTGGCTATCGGTGTAACGGAGCCCGCATTGGAGGCAGGTGGTGGAACACAGGGAACGGGTTGGTCGGGTGCTGCAGTGGGTGAGACATTGTTGCCAGGCGTTGTCGATTCCGTTACGGCTCCTGGAATTGTGGCTCATATGTCAGTGGAATATATGGAGCTGGAATATGGCTACCTGTGCCAGAAGTCGGTGCGTCACTCGATGTTGTACTGGCGGCTGCATTATTGGGAGTGCTCGTCTGTTCTGCGGTGCTGGTCGAGGTAGATATAGGAGGAGTCGTGCTATTGGTAGTTTCTGTGCTCGAGGAGACAATCGGAGCAGTTGCAACGGAAGCTTTGGAGGAATGAGCCGCAATTCCATGAAGCAAACGGACATACTACTGGGCGCTGCAGCACTCGTTTCAGTGGGGGCCCCGGCGACATTCGTCACCGGCGTGGAGGCCGAATTCGTTGCATCAGCAATGGTGCTTGCTTTAGGAAGGATCTGTCAGTTCACCAAGACTCGAACTTTGCGCACGCACCTGGAATTGTGGCCAACGTCGGGCCATTGGCAGCGCTGCTCGCTGGACTGCTGACAGAGTCACTGTTCACGATGGGTGCTTGCGTGGCCATCCTTTGAAAGGCAGGGAGGAAGCCGTGAGTTATCTTCAGTTGTCCATGGGACGCGCGTAGCTGTTAGTGGTGAGAAGCCAGAGGACCTGAGTGTAAGGGGCAGGCACATACTCTGGGTCCCGACAGCACGCATGGTTCCCGCCGACGCAAACGACGCAGCGGCGAGCGAAGCCCGACACACGTGGTGGTGGCGGAAGGCAAAAGGTGAGAGAGTTACCGCGGGTGATGTCGCCAAAAATCGCCGACAGCGTGTGAATTACCTCTTGGCTGTGACTCCCATCTGCAATTCCCGACTCGACCTCCTGTGGCTCAAGCTGGTCGCTCGAATGTTGCTCTGGACTCTGGATTGCACCCAAAACTCTCATCCTTCTTGTTAACTCGGCTCTCAGGGCGGCGATGCCGTCGGTGAAGAAGCGAGGGAAACATAGCCTATTCACTTCCGGCCTGGGGTAAAATTGATACAGGTACGTGGTCAGAAGCTCAATCGTATTCGCACTCACATGCCTACCCTGAAATAGCGCAGCTCTACGCGCCTGAGTGGACGGTATAAACCATAGCTGATTCTCTGTAGTTCCCGCCTTTGCATTGACACTCATGGCACAAGGAACTGCAGTTACTTTCGATATCGCCGACGGACGCACCTGCGCGATCGCGCTACCGCCCGACAATGGGACTACAAGCCAGTTTGCTGGTGGGATGACGCTCATGGGCACCCGTGCCGTCATCGCTGGTGGAGGCGACGGCAATGCGAGCGATTCACTCTTGCCCGCTGGCGCTGTCGTTGCCAACGCAGGCAGGCTCTGGGATGCGGGACAGGTGCGAAATGCGACCCTTTGAACTCGATTTCCCTCAACTTCTCCCGCAGACCGTGACTTATAGTTTCCTCTCTGGTACAACGCAACAGCAGAACAAGGTCAAGGCCGTTATCCAGAACTGGTGAGGAGTCAAACTGACACTTTGACATTCGTTTCAAGTTCCCTAAATTGCACCCAGGTACCTCTACGCAAACGTCGTCTTCTCCCCCGTTGCAACGGGAGGAATGCTCCGAATTACCTTCGATCCCAAGGGCGGATCGTGGAGCTATAGTCCGTTTCCTGGCAAATTTCCCCCATGTTTCTGACCATTGTGCATAGTCGGAAAAGACAGCTTGAAGGTTGACGCAACCAAACCGACTATAAACTTTGGCTGGGTGGAAGATACAAAGTCAATTGAAGCTGAAGAACGGGGCGTGATTCTCCACGAGTTTGGCCATGTTCTTGGTTTATTGTTGAGTCATCCAATTTCTTCCGGAGTATGGAAGCTGATCTTTTCCTAGGCACGAGTAGGTCTGTTTATGGACTAGACATTAGGTTCTAAAAGCGCGTCAGACACCAGAGTCCCGCACGTGGCGGAACCTTGACCCTTGACAATGAAGCAGTGTACGGCTACTATACCTACACACAAGGCTGGGATCGAGCAACAGTCAAGGCTCAGATTATCGACGTGTTCAATGCAGACACAGTTGTCTCGAACTACAGTCGGCTCGATACGGAGAGCATCATGATGTTAGTGGCCCACATTGCTCAAGCTGTTTATCCATTATTTCAGGTATTTCATGCCATCGTGGCTTAACCTTCAACGCATCGAAGTCAAGGCAAACTATGTCCTGTCCCCGATCGACATGGCCTACATGGTCATCAACTATCCGCGACCCAAGCCCCATGCCGAGGCCTCAAAATGGACGTTGGAGTATGCTTTGCGTGTCGCTGAGGTTGATGAGGCGACGGTTCAATCAATTCTCTTCTCTCGAGCCGATGTTTCCCAAAATTCGCTTCTTGTTCTCTGCGTATCAGCTACGTGTGCGACTTGAGGAGGAGCGGGCACGTGAGACAGGAATCGGACGTGGTGCTCAGGCAGATGGCGAGGATGGAGAAGGTTAGCCCCTCCGTTTTGACTGACCAATTGGCTGAAACAGGAAAATAGTCCATATCCCAACGGGAGCAAGGGGTATGCGCCGGTGCAAGCCGAGACATCAGGGGGGAGGGGAGGGGGGTGGTCTGGTGGCCTTAATTCACTTTTCTTTCGTAGGGTACAGAGTGGCTGGGAATGCTATTAATGGTCTCAGAATGCATATAATTGTCATTGAAAGCAGATTTTGGGGTTCTTCTGAGGCATGTATAAGCATTTTGATAGGAATTTCCGTTGAGGTGGTGATGACACGGCCACGGCACACCCAAGTCACACCTGCCAGCTATGCCTGCAGCCAAAATTGGTTTTATAATGATGTCCGCAGGGTGGATGTGGGTGGAGAGCATAAGAAGGGACACTATATATAGAGGAAATTAGTAGTACTGCATGACATTTTCACCAGTTTCTAACACCCATCATGGAATTGCCTTTTTGGGACATCACGTGCAATCACGTGGCGTGACGTCACACAGGGAGGGGGGGTGTCCAGCAGTAGCTAATTCACTTTTCCGACCTGACGTCGGGGGTTTCAGGTATGCATACCTCTTGAACGGGAGAGGTGCCAGAGCGCAATGTGGGCTGGTGCGCAGCCCAGGACCTGGCCTTGATGGCTATTCCAATTGTCCGCAACCCTTATGAACAGGATATCGAAGTCATCGGTACACCTTCTCGTGGAGTCTATGAAGGTGACACTGAGAGCGGCCTCCGTAGTCAGCTTTGGGAGCCGTATCAGACCATATGCTATGGTTTCATAAACCCCATTGAAGCCACGGAATACCGTCGTGCTCGTGTTGCCAGCGCTTTCCGTCTCTTCGAGGCCAATTCTTCCTTGACCTTCCAGGAGATTGAAATCTCAAACATGGACTTCAATGACCCTAACAACCGGATGAAATGTCCAATCCGCATTTATTTTGGCAAGCGTTTGGGGTTTACGATGTCAAACATCTTGGGCTGGGCCTCCGTTGGACGACGGCAAATTGATACAAGCCCGCCGGCGTCACGCTTCCGTGGGCCACAGTGGACAACTGTTTCTTTGTGCGATCAAGCAAGGGATTCGGATCAGGAGTTGAGCACTGAGGGAGATGTGCTTTGGGCCAACCAGACACTGTATCACGAGCTGCTTCATGCCTTAGGCTTTGAGCACGAGGAGGATAGCCTACACTCTCTAGTCACACCTGACCCATCCCGGCAAGCCGCCGAGCCAGAATCCAGAGGAACAGCAGACCTTTGTGTCAACTGAGGTAATAATATGAAGAACTAAAATTCACATGAGAGCTAATAAAACACAGTTTGACCATAACAGTGTAATGCTGTACTATAACCTGGACTACATTGACAAAGAGGCCTATGGTCAGAATACAGATCTCAATGGATGGCCATCTGCCAATGATCTAGATCTCTTACGGGTATGTCTTTGCGGTTGATATTGATTGCTGTCAGGCTGAGTTGGTCTTGCAGCTCTTGTATCCAGACAATCTAGCTGGTGGAAAGTTTCAACAGGCATTGATCAACATGCAGTTTGATAAAACCAAGATCCCAAAGCTTCTTAGTCTTGCTGAAAAAGCTGTTGGTTTAGGTCGTTTGGTTTCTCCAGATGCTGCTAAGCAGTTGCGGGATGCAATTCAGGCCAGCTTTCTGACAACCAAGCGCAAGTCAATAAGAGAAGAGATAGATTACAATCCAACACCAGTTGGTTTGAGATTTGAGGACCCTCAGGTTGCTCAGGGCCTGGGACCAGGTATGAAATCAAGTCTTTGATACTTTTATTATATCTTCTGATGCTTTTCAGCTCATGATATTGCTGATAAAGTTGGCATAGAAGGTAATAGAAACCAAGTCCTCTGGATTATAGCTTGAAGCTCACTACAATATGAAAGTTCCATTTCCCTGGTGTGGAACTGAACAGGCTGAATCAGTTGAAAACAACTTGCAGAATGCAATCCTACCCAATGAAATTCAACACGGAGTCTTTCTCCCTAATCGCCGTGCAGACTTCAATGAGATTTGGGCACCATATCAAGTTATCCCATATGGCTATCTCAACCCAGCACAGGCAACTATACACCGCCGCAAGCGCCTTGAAAATGCTCTTTCCCTCTATGCACAAAACACCTCTCTCCGCTTCCAATATGTTGATATCTCTGGTCCACAATGGGATTTTGATATCAATATAGAGAAGCGATGGGACTGTCCCCTCCGAATTTATTTTGGTGAGCCAACAGACTCAACACGTGTACAGGGCCATTTGCGTGGATTTGCTAGTCAGGGAACCAAGTTTGTCGAGTCAGGCCATGTGGAGAGAGCAATTATACAGGCAAAACAAAACAGATGGCCAGAAAATCAAGCAATCCGATGGGCAACACTGTATTATAGTGACCAACCCCAGGATGAAGAGGCTGAGAATGCACTGGCCAGATTGCCAACTAAAGCACTACACAAGGCTAATTGCACACTCTATCATGAGCTGGGTCACTTCTTGGGTATAAATCAATCCAATCATTCGCATTATACTCATTTGTACTTTGACTAGGATTTCGTCATGAACAAAACAGTCCAAACACTGAGGTAGATGGAGTTTACATTGATGAAGATACAGTTGGGACCCAGGTATGAGTGATCCATTTCTCTCTCCAATTTTTTTTCTATCTCTGACTGTTTTAGTTTGATCCAAAAAGTATCATGCTTGATGCAGGATATGATTATTCAGGGTTTTGGAATAAGTTCAATCACAAAGTAACTGAAGACAATGCCTACCCCTCACCAACGGACCTAGACTTGCTAAGGGTATGCACTTATAACTTTTATTTAATACAGCATCTGATTATTAAGTTAGCTCTTATATCCTGATAGCCAAGGATCTCCAGCTGGCAGATTTGCAGCTGCATTGAAAACCATGCAGTTTACTCAAGCTGAGCAAGCCAGATTGTTGGCTCAGCATGACAGGGCTATTGCAGCAGATAATGGTCTTCTTAGCATCAATGAAGTAGAGAATCTTCGGCAACAGATTGCAGATATCTTGAAAAGACAACCCAGGCTTTCCACTCGTCCAGATATTCCATATGATCCTTCAGGTCCCTCATCAAACACAGGAATTGGTCTCATAGCCAATGATATTACCACTGGACAAGAAATAGGTATGTGGACTCATCAGCTCTATAAAATAATTAAGTAAGTTATTCTAGGCCAAACTGGATGGTGTGGAACAGAGGCAGTGGCTCTAGACCAAAGAGAACTGCTTGCTGTAGCGAATGATATCCAACGTGGGGTATTCAAGATCGACCCTGTGAACAACTTAAATGACTTCTGGACACCAAATGAGACCATTGCCTATGGTTATCTCAACCCAGATGATGCAACATCCCACCGCCGGCGTCGTCTAGAGAATGCACTATCTCTCTATGCTCAAAACACATCTCTCAGATTTGAATACATAGATATCTCTGGACCACAGTGGAACTTTGATCAGAATCGCCATCAACGCTGGCAGTGCCCACTACGAGTATATTTTGGTGAACCCTGGGGAGTGACACGAGTTGATGGTCATGCTCGAGGATATGCGAGTCTGGGTATGGACAAAGTTGAGGAGGGTTATATTGAGAGAGATATCATCAAGACTCCAAAATGGGTTTACAATGCACGCTGGGCAACACTCTTTATGAATGATCAGCCTCTTACCCAAGGTGATGAAGATCAAGAGTTGCAATCGGAAATTGCTCGAGCAAATAATACTCTCTACCATGAGCTGGGGCATTTCTTTGGTATTTATCATCCAAATCAAACTATTAACACTAATTTATTTCTCTTCAGGTCTGCGTCATGAACAAAATAGTCCCCATACTCAAGTTTACAATGCATATCCTGCTGATGATACAGTTGGCACTGCAGTAGGTATTTCCTTTTGAAAGTATTGCAAGCTCAGATCTTGGAACAGTGGGATAATAGAAGTATCATGCTATACCAAGGCTATCAATATAAAGGCATTCGTGCAGTGCTAACTTGGAAGAAAACAGAAGAGCATCCCTATCCTTCTCCGACCGATTTGGATATACTGACAGTATGATTTTTTGAGGGAAACTTATAAGGTTGATCTAATATATAATAGCTGTTGTATCCCGATGGTCAAGATGGGGGAAAGTTTCTACGAGCACTTGACACTATGGGCTTTACCTCAACAGAGCAAGTGAACCTTTTGCAACAGCTTAACTTGGGCATTGCAGCAGATGGAACAGTAATTGATAGGACAGAAGTCAATAGACTTCGCGGAATGATTGCAGATAGTTTGCGCCAAAGACCACGCTTATCAAGACGCCCTGATATTCCATATAATCCCTCTGGCCCTTCAAACAATACAGGAATTGGTTTGGCAGGAGCTGGAGTACATTTATCTGACAAAGGATTGGATATTGGACGAGGTGTAAATGATGGAGCTGGAACTCCACGTGCAGTTAATCCTCAAACCCCAGGGTTCCTCTCTGAACTGGTTGCAAAGTTACAAGAGATCTTCAGTCCTGGTGGCAATCAAATGTTCACTCTCCAATTTCCTGGAAGATATCTTGATCAAGCAACTTATGCATGGGATACATCTTCTGCAGGGGCCTATGGTCAATTCATCAAACCTGTGGTTGTTAATGAGTCTGAGTTCCGGTTGGTTGATCAGCTCTATGATATAGCACCAATTGTTGCTGGGCCTAATGGGCAGAATCTATCAATCATCTATAAACAAGTATGTTGATCAATATTTGGCAATTATCCAACTTACAGACAGTTGTCAGGTTCTCAACAATCTGCTCCCAAAATTTGTAGAAAATGGCTTACCACAGCAGCAAGATCAAATTAGGCGATGGTTGTTGCGAGATGTTCCAATGACCCAGTGGATTCGTGATATTATGACTCGTCAAAATGCTCGTGAGGCAGCATTGGCAACTTCTCTTGTCAAGACAGCTCGTAAGTGATAAGGCATGCTTTTTATGTTGTCTGGAAAACTGAAGCTATAATATAGGAATAAGTAAAACTGGGTCTACAACAGCAGCAGGTGTTGCTGCAGCTGCTATGGCTGCTAGCACTACACTTGCCCCAGTTTTTGATATTTCTAGCAAGGCTCCAAATGAAACACTGAATCGAATCGAACTAAGTGAGCTGCTGATGAATGAATATCTATATTCAAAGCAGGATTGGGAGCTGGAACGTGATAATCTAATCAATAAAGCAACAGAGGAAAGTTATAATAATAATAATAATATGACTGTTATTTTCTTATTTCATCACAGAAGGATCTTGGAACTCCGGAGTCTCAAAGAGAGCTTAATGCTCTCACCCGTCAACTAGCTCATGTCACAGATACACGCCAGGCTCAGCTTGCATCTAAATACTCTGATGCAGTTGTTCGTGGATATTCTCACACTGTTCGGCAGTATATGGGATATCTAGATATCTATAATCCTGCAGAAGCACTGCAAGATGCCAAGGACTCATATCGAGAGTCTGCCATGTCATCTTTGGATGGCAGCCTGACTGTATTTCCTGTTCAGCTTTCTCCTTTGGACTGGTTTGCAGGCCTGTCAACCTCTTTCACACTGGAGGATCTCACTCAGGATCCAGAGCTTATCCGACTGCAGATTAGTGCCAAGTCAAAGGAGCTAGATAATCTGAATGCAATACTAGTATCTCTGCAGATGGGTAGTACTGGAGATGCTGCTGCTCTACGGGCAAAAGTTCAGACAGCACAGAAAGCATTGACTACTGCACAAGCCAATCTAGCAGAAAAGTACTCAACAAATATCATCAGTCTAGCACAAACATTCCTTGCCAAGTCTGGAGATTTGGATATTGTTGCCCTAGGTACATTTACAAAGGTGGATCCACAGACCTGGACAGACCTTGCTACAAAATTGAGAACAGTTACACTTGCTCAGGAGGAGCTTAGCAACACATCTCGTGCATTATCTCAGCTCACAGCTGCTGCTGCCCTTGCACAAGCAACAGACACTCAGCAAGAGCAAAACAAGATTACAATCCAGATTCAAGCAACTACCTCAGAGTTGAATGAGCTTCAAACACGATTTGCTGCTTTAACTGCTAAGACTGGTGGAGCAAGAGCTGAAAAGCCTCCAAGTCAAGCAAGCAATCCTGTACCACAGACACCCTTGGAACTGCCAGAGGAAGGGACATCAGGTGGAAGCCGTTGGCAGACAATCATTTTGACAAGCACAAGTGACTCTCGAAGTGAGGCTAGTGCATCTTCAAGTGATGCTAAAGCAAGTCTTTTAAAAACATATCATGTGCATAATACTAATAAGTCTGATAGATTGAAGAATGGAGTGTAAACATATGGTTTGCCTCAGCATCTGGAGGCAACTCTAGTGAAAATGCTCAAGCAACACAGTCAAGTGAAGCTAGCTCTGACACAATTGATGTTGCACTTCGAGCTACACTTGTCACAGTTGACCGAGGAGGCTGGTTCCAGCCTCAGTTTTTCTCCGAATCTCAAGCATTCTATAAGGTAATTTTCTCCCTTAGATTATAAATTATAATACTGAGATAAGCACCTAGATCAATGAGAATATCTCCTGGGCTGGTGATGAAGGCCTACTGAAAGGATTCCCAATTGCCTACCTTTTAGTCAAGGATGTGATCATCCGTGTTCGGCACACATCTAGCTCAAGTGACATAGAGAAAGAAAATGAGGCCAAAGCTGCATCTGCAGCTGGTGGGTTCCTCTGTTTTTCTTACTCTAACAGCCAGTCCAGCAGCACTGCATCTGAGGCAAGCAGTTTCCAACAATACAGTGATGGGTATATTGTCAAGATTCCAGGACCACAGGTATGTAGTGATTGCTTCTCCAAGATATTTACTTATGCTGTGGAAGATTTTGGGTTATATGATCCAGCTCACAGGTCCAGACAATAGTGAACTCATGCCCAATGAACTTCCACATGGTTTTTTCATCCCAGATGATGAGTATGACAGAACCATCAAAGGTGAAGATGATCCTGCCCGTGGCATCAATACTGGAGGTAGACAATTGGTTATCACCGAAGAAAAGCTCAAGAATGCAATGGATGGGATGCTGAATGAGAAGGTTGGTGAACTATTCCGTACACTTGCAGGAGAAGAGCCTACAAAGGCTAGTGCAACTCAGGCAAACAGAATCAATACTGATCAATCATATCCCTATAAATATGAAGGTGCATAACTATGCCAGTGGTCATGTATTCTATAAATATACTTGTTTTCTCATCTCTCTCTCTCTCATAAATATGGTTCCTATCTGCTTTTCTGTTGAACTATGTGAACCCAAGTCTTGCCAGCCAGATGATGTCATCACTGGACTGCCATCACCAACGCAGAGTGTTAGGAGTGTTCTATCATATCCTACTGACTTATTTCTCCAGAATCTAATACTTCTGTGAGGGCAACTCTGGAGGCCTGAGATCAAGGTCCTAGCTGCTGCTGTCGGGCACAAAAGGCTTGAGCGGCGTCGCAGGCCAGGTCCCAGGGCAACTGTTGGGAGGGTGTTGATGGATCCGTGATGGCGCGGGCTTGGGCGGGTGGTACCAGTATGAGAATAAATATACTCGGTCATAGCAAGCCTGAGTTTATGTATTGAGTGCTGGCTGTGAGTAAGGTAAGAGAAGAGCTTATATGAAGGCTAGTGCAAGTCAGGCAAAGGAAACTGTGACAAAATGAGCTGCTGATATGACTTACCTACATTATAATGATTGTTATCAGATATATATCCATTTTATTGATACTATCAGATATAGAAAAATGTTAAGTATTGAATATTAGATACCAGTGTATTGTTGGCCTATTATAATATTAATATATAATGATAATATAACAATGATATAATATGATCATCAGCAGCATAATACATCCATAATAGGATATAGCAACAACAATAACATTGAACATTATATTATGGTTTTATCATCATATATTACTCTTATATTAAGCAGATGTTGTGTGAATGTATGCACATGTTTGGCATCACCTTTAGCAATTCATTTACTCCACATTTCCACTTTGGGGTTCACTGCTGTTGAAACCCTAATTTGGTAAGAAAAGCTGTAAAGAGTCTAATTGGGACGCAAAGCTGTAGAACTATGTAAAACTAAGATTTTGCACCAAGTACCATAAACAAGTATAATCTAAGGCTATGTGTGATATTGTTCTTGCCTGTAACAATAGTATGTAGGGAATGTAGACCTTGAGATTTCATAAACTCATAAATAAAATTGGCAAATTCAATCTTCAAAACTGTGAATCAACATTGGAAGCTGGGGCGTAGCCCCAGCCTGTCTAGTTATAATATATGATCTGGCTTCAACAAACTTTCAATATTGTATTGGGGATTGTTCAGAAGACTGCTGGATAGCAATGATGATGTGCCCAATGTCTCTAAGGGGTTGTCTCTGAGGGGGCCATCTCTATCTCCAGTTCAAAGGGGGGGGAGGTTTCCCTGATACAAGGAAACCATTTATAGTACATAAATACTCTGAGGACAAGAATACAAATAATATCAGTTGGTATATACAAGTTGATTTCATACAAGGTTCATGGCCTGTCTAGGGCTGACATTCAAGTTGCAGGTTTATACTGAAGTCATAATAATAATGATATAACAGAATAATATAATATTCATTCTGGCCACCAGGCATAATATAATCATAATCATAATAATATATTATGAAATAATAATGGGGCATAGTAATGAATTATAATATAATCACGGCCACTGGCTAGCACTCGACAGCCCAATATTTTATCTAGGCTATATCATAATATGTGTACGGCAGATACATCATACCAGAGAGAGGCTCGCACTGGCATGCACTGGCATGATAGTTACGTTACAATCCTATTTCACACCCTCCCGATGCGGATACACGTTGTCCCGCTCTTATGACGCTATTCTAGAAATTTGGTATATCCGCGGTGTTCGTTGGCTCCGGGATCAGGCTCATGACTTCTTTTGCCAGGCAGAAACTTTAAAATAAGTAGTCTGACGCCTGGAGCGGGCCACGCTATGACCTCCCTCCCTCCACCGTCCCCCGGGCAGGCTTACATGCATGTTTCCGCGCTGCAAGCGGGAATGCTGCACTTGCCCACAGACTTCCTCGTCCAAGGCGAAAAACATGGCTACAAACACTGTCCGTCGCTGGCATTCTTCCTGCGGCACTCGGCGTCGGATAAGCACTTCATCTTCGACCTGGGCTTGCGCAAGGACCTGGAGTCGTATCCGCCGGCGGTGAGGGCGCATTATTTGGATACGGAGACCGCGCAGATGCGCACCCGGTGCTCGGTCCCGCAAGACGTTGCGGAGTCGTGTCTTGAGGGCGGCGTGGACCCCGCGACGGTGGAGAAAGTCGTTATTAGCCACCTGCATTTTGACCAGTGCGTCGTCAATTTCCAAGTTTTCGTGGACTAACACTTGGTCAACAGCGTTGGCGAGCACACGCCCTTCACCTCAGCAACTTTCATCCTGGGTGGCGACGGCGCGGCCACGCTAGCAGACGGCTATCCGGAAAACCCAGCATCGTATTGTCTCTCCGCCTCTGTTCCGGTTGAACGCACACTCTTCCTTAACCGCACCGAGCATCTCACCACGCCCATCGGCCCATTTCCCCTGGCTTACGACCTCTTCGCCGACGGCTCAGCCTACATCATCGACACGCCTGGGCACTGTCCGGGACATGTGACTCTGCTGGTGCGGACCTCGGCGGCGGGAAACTGGCTCTACCTGGGCGGGGACATTGCGCACGACACGCGACTGCTGACAGACGCTGACACAGACATTGCGCTGACAACGGAGAGCGGGGTAGCGTGTTGCGTACATCGGGACCCGGCTCAGGCACGTGTCGATATTGCGCGGGCTCGACAGCTGGTGAAGCTACCAGGAGTCGAGTTCTTGATTGCGCACGACTGGAAGTGGTTCGAGGATAACCTGGAGAACGCCTTCTTGCCAAAACAATTTGTGCCGAGAAAATTGTAATGAATTAAATTGAAGACTACTTAAATGTTCACCACGACGAGGGATGCTTTAAGAGTGTCTGTTGATTCGTCAACGAGAGAAAGATATAGTAAAGGGAGCGCACCCCGCCGTCGACCAAGATCGTCTCCCCATTCACAAACGAGTTCACCACCAACGAAAGTGCAACGGCACCAACATCGCGAGCGCTCCCATGGCCTGTCTCTGTCGGCACCGAAAACCCAAACTCGCGCTGGCGGAGGGTGCCAGAGCTGCCGAGGGCATCGATGGTGTCCGCGCCGAGAGACATGCCCGTCAGAAACAGACCTGAGTTCGACAGATGAGTCAAAGATGAGTATATATCGGAGGACGAGTGGCGGCACTGACCTGGCGCAATTCCGTTGACGCGGATGCCGAGTGGGAGGAGCTCGTTCGCTAGCGTCGCCGTTGCCTGTCCGATAGCCATCTTGGAGAAGAGATACGGGTACGAGTGCCCACATGTAGCGCTATCCTGGACTATGTTAAGGGCTGCACTGGCAGCTCGCGATGCTGATTTGAGACAGCTCACCTTTGTCCACCCATTCATCGAAGATGTCATGATCACCTGCGGCACAAACTTATTCGTGCTCGATTTCCACTTCTCGAGGAGCGGCAGAAACGCAAACGTGAGCCAGAACGGGCCGACGGCGTTGGTGGCGAAGACGTCAGTAAACTGCTCCTGGGTGACACTGTCGAAGTAGGCCGCCACGAAGTCTGCCGCGCTGGGTGGTGTCCCGTCGGCGTTTATGGTGGGCCGGCCTGGTGCGGGACTGCTGATACCAGCATTGTTGAACAGAACAGTGACCCCTTCAGGGGAGCGGGTGGATATTTCGGATGCGAGGCGTGTCGCCTCAGACTTTCAAAGTTGGACACAAGAAGTTGGGTCGAAAAAAGGATAAATAGTCACACACCTTGAGTCGGATGTCCCCCTCGAGTCCGTGCATACGCCCGTTCGAGATTCCCTCTGCCGCTTCATTATACTTGGCGCAAACACTGCGCAGACCGTGAGCCGCGCATCGAAAAGGACGGATAGCGTAGCGCACGCGTCAAGTTCCTGCTGTTTCGGCCCGATGATATAGACAGTGGCTCCATTTGCGACGAGGGTGGAAGAAATCATCATCCCAATGCCCTATAATAGTTTGTGAACAACTTGAAGCGGATGGATTCTTACAGAACCGCCGCCAGTGACGACAGCCACGACGCCCCGCAGGTCGAAGATGTTTTGTGCCTTGAGCTGTTCCAGAACTTTGTCTGCCATGTCGGTCAAGGGGGAAGATGCGATATGGCGGAGGTCATGACGTATGGGTGGAGTGACTTTGATAGAGGCTGGATTGGTACTTGGGAAATGCGGTGAGGTGTGGGAGGAACAAGACTGGCTTCCCATGCTGTCAAATGACTCATCCAAGTCATTCGTTGTTGATAAATTGATCCCGCTTGACCTTGACGACCTCCACCACGAGTTTCCCGCCTTGAACTTGCAACGGAAGCAGCACATGGCAACATGTAAGTCAGACGACAATATCAAGCACTTTTCTCAGTGACAGCATGCCAGCGGACAGATATATCGACTGCCCCTTCAAGTTGAGCAACACGCAAAGGTCCATAGATACGCCAGTCGACTGTCCTTTCCTATGAACACGCCTCCGACACAACTCCGTGGGAATCGTGCGAAACGCAGATTCAAGATAGTCAACGCGCGCGGGAGTTGGACGCGCCGCACGGCCCCGCTGGGCTTCTAGTCCCGAATCAACGCCCACGCGGGAGGAAACCAGCGCTCGCGACGAGTGCGACGCAATTCGACAAATAACAGAACAATCATCCATGCCGCGTTGCCTCATGCTGCGCGCGCAGAACGACGCAGCGGCGAGCGAAGCCGTGGCGGTGGAGGAAGACGAAGAACGTGATGATATTTTCACATGTTACCCCTCCCTTGCACGCCTCGCTCCAACGCTAAGTCGCGCTCGCTCGCCAAGTCGCGCGAGCGAGGAGCCCCTCTAATATACCCCGTTGGCCTGCGCACGGACCTATCAACAAGGTCAGGTGAGGACATTTGTGCGTCGAGCAGCTGGAGAAAAATTTGGGTTTGGGGGCCAATCATGGGTGGGTTTTCGGAGACAAGTCTCTCTCTCGGGCATTCCGGGAATGGAGCAAGGTCATCTATTGAGCTAATTCTACCAAGTACATCCAGACACGCTCATTAACGACTCGACGCGACGCGTTTGATCCCGTCAAAGACGCGTTTTCCAGGCCATTCTCTCCCAAGTCCCCGCACAGTGACAGATTTGCAAGTCCGGCTGTACTTCGGCCTCTGGCGGGAGGTCCGTGTGTAAAATCAGCTGAGCCGATCTTGCGCGAAAACGAAGGCTCGCGCAAGACATAGCGCATGGTCATTTCAGCCGAACAAAAGGGATTTAGGGACGGCAGCTGCGATGGCAAGGTGAGCCCGTGGTGCCGCGCAGATGATGAGTCCGGGCAATACACGGCCGGCCCATAGAGGTTGACTCGGAAGAGAGTAGGGAAAGAGGCGAGGGCTGGCATGAATGCGGGCAGCCGGCAGTCGGGACGGAGATCAAAGCAGCGACGGCTCATGAGCCAGAAATGCCGGGAGCGGGATGGCCAAGACGACGGCGGATCCAGACGCAAGAGTAGGGGTACAGAACACGCGGATTCCGGGTAGACGGCGCGGCCCGTGGAGGTGCATTGGGAAGGTTGGCCCAGCAGGCGCGAAGAAGACATCGGCGGGGTCCCGGGCAGCAGGCAGCCCAAGTCCATGGTGCGGTCGTGACGGAGATCAAAGCTGTGATGCCAGACATGTCGAGAGTGTGAATGCAAAGGCAATGGTGCATTCGAGCGAAACGGCCTTGCGAGATGCGGGGGAGGACTCGAAAGCTGGGTGAAAGCCGGCCGGCCGACGGGCATGGCATGGATGGGGCCCGAGGACAGTAGTCGTGAAGTCCCAAGGCCATGATGCGGCCGGAACGGAGCGTTGACGCGGGGAAGACTCGAAAGCCGGCGGAACACGTGGATTCCGGGTGGACGACGTGGCCCGTGCAGGTGGCCGTGACCACTTCCTGGCCACAGAGGTTGATGGACAGTAGGCGCGACCGGCGGGAAGAGGTCATCGGCGGGGTCCCAGCGAGATGGATGCGGGCCGTCAAAAGCCCTGATGTGGTCGGGACAGAGATGCAAGCCGCGATAGCGTGAAAGCCGAGAGGGGGAATGCAAAAAGGATGGTGGATTTGAGCGCAAGGGCCATGCGACATACGGGAGGCCGGACAACGGGGATGGCATGAATGAGGCGGAAGGAAGGTAGCTGTGAAGTCCAAGGCCATGATGCGGCGGGAACGGAGATCAAAGCCGCGACAAGGCAATCGTCGGGCAGCAACAGTGGTGGTCTCACTGTGCCGACATGGTTGCTGGCCGGCGGGGACGCATGCCTCCGGCGGCAAAACCCTGCGAAAAAGTGAGGCTTGAATCGCAGAAAAGTCGGGTCAAAATGCACCTCAAAAATACCATCAATAATTGATGGCATCAGTGATCCGGCATCGACGGCGGGTCAAGCGAGATTTGACTCAGGACAGGCAGCGTAGAAGGGACTTGATAGGCTTACCCTACGATGGCGCCGCATGTGACCGCCATAATGCGCCCATCCTCGGCGGGGCGGTCAGCGGGTGTCGACAGCAACAGCTGTCATCGGGGAGCTATTCGCACGGCTCCGGTGGGGAGATCCTGTTAAAACATAAGCTTTGAATCCGAAAATTGAGTGACCAAAGTTACCGCCCGGGGGTAAAACCTACTGAAAAAGTGAGATCGTTTGTGGGGAAAAGTGACAAACAAATATGCTTACACAATCACGACATGATGACCGCTGGAATTGAGGGGCACAATTGAGCTGGCCGGCGGGGCCAGGAGCAGGGTCCTGGCATCGCAGCGTTGAGGTGTGGGCGGCATGTGCCTCCGGCGGGCTAAAATCCGGTGCAAAAAAGTCAATATTTGTCGGTCGAAAAGACGCTGAGAATCAGCTTACGTAATCGCCGGTGATGCCCGGGAATCCAATCAAAACCGCCGAAAATGGTCCCAAAAAATCACCCAGGGGGATAGGATATGACAAAGCTACAGTTGAATGTTAGCCCACAGTCAGTTGAGAACATCAAACACTCATACCAGCAGAGGTTCCCCTTCCCGCCTCGACCGACGGTGCTGAGAAACGAGACGCCTTGGTCAGACCGGCAGAGGTTCCCCCTCCGGTGGAAGCTAGCACCGAGGACTACTCCTAAAGAGACAGTAAACCTGACAGGGAGTCATAAGTACTAGTATGAGTCCGTGTAGCAACAAGAACAGCCTACGACATGTCCAAGCAGAGGTTCCCCCTCTCGGGGCATGGAGCGACGAAGCCTCGCTCAAATGTCAACGGCTAGTAAGGGAAACAAAAGACCAAAAAACCTGTATCAGCATAATGTCCCGCTCAGTTCGTCTCCGCGCACACTCCATGCTATGTCGCAGGGCTGTAGAAGACAGCGTCAGCGAGCGCAAGGAGGACTGGGATAGGTACACACCTTGCGCGAGTGTCACGAGCAACATCCCGGCATGTGTTGGTCGCAGTGCCAGGGCATAGCGGAGAACAGACAGAGCCGCAGGGAGAGATGGTGGACAGTGAAGACGAAAACTGAAAGCTACTCAGCAACAGAAACTGCGAAATGAGAGAAACAACGCACATAAGTACCCCCATCCCAGCGATAAGAAACGCCAAAGAGGTGGGTCTCGAGCAGAAAGATTTGGTGGAGCGAAAGTAACACGTCGCAGTTGTGTCAAGGCCTGTCACTGAGTCAGGGTCAGGAAAAGAGCAACACAAGACGGAGGAGGCGAACCTGGGTCCTGAAGTCATCGCGTCCAGAACGGGCTTCACGCAGCAGTTGACCATGTGCGTCACGCTAGCGCTGGCAATGGCAGCCAAAGCCGGGTGATATGCAGCAACTTGGGTGTAGGGCGGCGAGGATATGTGGTCGGACATGGAAGAAGGGCAATGATGTCGGGGACAGCGACGCACAACGACTTGAGTCGACGACGAGCAGCTGGGGCTAGACGAGGCAGCACCGTCAAAGATGGGCGGGAAGGAGATGGTGGTTGGAGGTCAAGAAGCGTTTGGACGCGTGACCTTGTTGATACTTTGATATCGATGCATCGCCGTTTGAGCGAGGGTGGCGGAACAGTGGCTCTTCGCTTCCCTCCCTTGTGGCGCTTCTGGAAGCGAAGTGCCACTGCACGTGTGCGCACTGAAGCGAAATACGGTGGTTCCTTGAGGCAAGTGAGCAAAACGGCAAAGGAGTCGGAAATGGGTGTACTCACCAGTGGGGGAGCGAGAAACCCGGTATTAAGGCGCGGCTGAAGGTGGAGACTGAAAGTCGGTGGGTGCGGACGATGACAACTTGGAGCGGCGCCCACACCGACTCAAAGTTCTTGCGCTGTTAAAAAAAGTAAATATGATATAGATGCACTGGCAACTATGTGATGACTTACGCCTTGGGTGCCCAACAGTTGGCCAGCCCGGATGAGATACTGCCAGTCACAGCCTGTGTGTTGAGCGGGACGACGACGGGGAAGAATGGGTTGGCGACGAGGGTGATGAGCGGAGAGAAGAGAGAATGGCATGCACCGTAACGCCGGTGTGATGATCCGCCGTCGCAATCGGACATTACCGGTGATGGTATCCAACACGTGGGGCAATAAGCCAGGAAGCTCCTCGCAAGGTCCTGAGGCGTCAAGGAAGGTTTGGGGGTGCACCGTGTTCGGCGGATGTCAGGTAAGCCTTGCGGATCCTTGGGCGGAGAAAGAAGCGAAGGAGCACTAATTGATGGCAGGGAAAGTGGTGCGTTGACAAACCCCCGGGTGCCTTCCTCAGCACTGGTGTCTTGGTTCAGTTGTAGGTCTATTTCTACTACTTCCCCATGAGTCCCTTCGGTTTTCTTGCCTATTTTTCTTTGATTTGCCCTTATTTTTTTTCTCCAAAATCACGGTAACGGGCTGTGGTGATTTGCAGCAGACACCCTATCTTAAGTCGACTTGCTGACCACCATAATGCACTGAAGTTGTGGAAAATGACAGTTCTCGGTGATACTAGCACGGCGCTGAACATGTGTCGATGACGTCTGCCTTATCTTGTTCGGCTTGCAACTAACTCCGCACTGACAACGGTGGCGTCGCGTTTGGAATAACGCGACTCTCAGATTCTCGCTTCTTAATAACCTTCGCCCGTTGCTTCGCCGTGCTCTCGCCCGCGCTCTATGTCACCGCCCAGAAGGCTATATAAGGCCCCACCCCTGCTCTCCCACCCATTTCGCTCTTTCCCTCCTCCCTCCATCTTCGCTCACGCCAAGCTCACGCACTTCCCGATTTGGGCGAAAGTCAACCCCACGTGACCGTATCTCGCTTAACCTCGGCTTCCTTTCTCCGCTCATGTCACCCATCCAGCTTTCGGTCGTCGTCAACGCCGCACACCGTGAAGGACCACACTGTCGATAAGAGTCATGGTCGCTGTTTCCTGCGCTTACTCCTCCACAGCTTTGACCTCGATTGCCTGCTCCGTCTTCTCAATGCACTTCGTTTGACCTTGGCTTTTCGCCGTGCGCTCCTTCTACTATTCCGAACTATCTGCTGACATTGTTGTAGTGACACTCCCGCTCGCTTCAGGTTCGGACTATCCATAGCGGGACACGGTCTTTCGGTGCGTCCTCCGGCTTACTTTGTTGATGTTTCGCTGACGAGATTGTTAGTGCTATGGTCAAACTCGGTGCGTGATATCCACTCATTGTCCATCCCCACTGTGTGCTTCATCATGATTCATAGCGCCTCCACCTTTCTTCCCTCTCCGCACTTCCATACAACAGCCCTCGAATGCTTACCATCTCCAGGTATCCATCCGGACTTGTATCTGCTGGTTGCATAGGCTTGATCTGGCTCGGTGTCGCGCGGTCAGTCTTCGCGCGCAACCGTGCATCGACTCACCGTGTTTTCTCAGAGCTGCTGTCTCCGGTTGGTCAAGTATTTCCGTTGCTTTCCGCGGTACTGACCGAATCTGGCAGATTTCTTGCCAGAGGTCTACGCAGTTGGTCGTCTGCAGAGGAGCTTGGTGTCTCGCGAACGGATAGAAAAGCTCTTTGCAGTGAGTGCACATCTGGGATAGCTCCAAACCGCGACTTACCTCACGACAGATGCGCCTTTCGTGGTCCTGTTACTCTTGCGTTCATGCAGTTCTGTCCCAGAACCACAGGACGCTCCGAGTTTGCCAAATATTCGTCTTGCTTTGGACATTGCTGACCAAGTTCCACAGCGCCATCCCTACCTAGAGCGCCTTCATTCGACGAGAACGACTCGGTTGCCTTAGTTTGCGGAGGCTGCATCTTGTTCTTGCGATTGCTGACCCATTTCTGCAGATTGATCGCTCGACTTCGGCCGCGCGAAGCCGTCCCGACGACGGGCGACGTGGGGCGCGCTTGGTGCCGCGCGATCGCCGCTTGAAGACCGCGCTCGGTGCCCCGCTCGTCCAGCATCACCCCGAGCAACTTCGTTCGATTACGACTGCTTTTCTGCAACAGTTTGCGAAAGATATGTCTTGTTTTGCATAATTCTGACCAAGTTATACAGGTTTCTCCCCGGAATCTTGCCCAGACTCGCTCGCGGCCGCCCTTAAACGCCTCAATCGTGGCTCATCCTTGGTGGAAGTCGTGCTGTCAACGGTTTGCCCCACTTCTTTAGGGCCTAACGATGCTAACAAAACGATGGTCAGCGGTTCCAGGCCCCCGGCAGACGACGGACCCAATGGGGAGGGTGCGGTCGTGGAGCGACTTCGACTGCTCTTCCTTCTCAGTTTGCGAAAGCTACAGCTTGCTTTCCCTATTACTGACCGAGTTATGCAGGTTTCTCCCCGGAATCTTGCCCAGAAAGGCGTTCGTGATATGCTCTCGCTCGCGGCCGCGCTTGGGCGCACAATCGTCGCTCATCCTTGGTGGGAGTCGTGCTTTCAACGGTTTGCGCCGACTTCTTTCCCTCTGCGCTGACGTATTTCGTCGTTGGCGTCCGTTCGGCGGGCTGAGGCGGCAAAAGCGTCGGAGACGGCTGTAGCATAGCCATAGATAGTTTGCTGGCCCCATGTCTTGCCGTCCGGCAGGCTGGCCTGCCGCTTGCCGGTGTGGATGGCCGGGCGTTCGCGGGTTGTTGAGAGGGTACATAAAGACGGCAGGGGACTCGTGCCGCGACCGTGACCCCTCCGGAGGGGTTGTGCAATTGCGATTGCGGCAGGCGGGGGAGCGTGACGCCGCGGACAGAAGCAGAGTAAGGTACTAGTATTTATCCAAGTTGCGCTTCAAGTTCCTGACTTGTTATCGACAGCCGCGGCAGTCGAGCTCGCCGTTGGGCTATGTTGTGTATATGTCGGGTCCTTGCCCTGCAGACACATGGCGGTCAGTCTACTGCGGAGTAAGCGTGAGGGTTTCTGCTGTGAACAAGTGCTGACTCGTTCTAGTCTTGCTGCGCGCGACGCTTCAGGTTGTTGTTGGGCTCCAACATGTTCCTTCTACTTGCTGTTAGCTGTATCATATCGGAAACCGGTGCCGTACCTCCAAGTTCTCGCCGCCGTTGCCTATCTTTACGCTGACCATCTCGGGCAGAAGTGCTTGACGCTCTTTACTTGTGCAACATCCAGGTCGTCTGGCACAACCGAAGGTGATTGCGTTGCTGAGGCCTGCTGGCATCGGCGCGTTTTGCCGTATGTATTGTCCGAGTCGAGTTTGTCGCCGGTTTACTTACTCGCTGTCAGCTGTGTCCGTGCGGAAACCGGCGCCGTACCTTCACGCTTTCCCCGCGCTGAACGACTTCGCCAGGTCTGCCTTCAAGATCTTGAGGCTGTTGACTTCGCGAATCCTAGCAAGCGGGCAAGCGGGAGGGCCGCCCATCGCAAAGTCAGTGTCCCGACTGCTTTGCTCGTCGAGAACGACGCTGATGTTGCCCAGTGATTCGATTCGGCCGTCGCGGTCGGCACCGAAAACCAAACTCACGCTGGCGGACGGAGCCAGAGCTGCCGAGTGCATCGATGGTGTCTGCCCCAAGAGACATGCCCGTCAGAAACAGACCTGGCGCTATTCCGTGGACGCGGATGCCGAGTGGGAGGAGCTCGTTCGCGAGCGTCGCCGTTGCCTGTCCGATGGCCATCTTGGAGAAGAGATACGGGTACGAGTGCCCACATGTAGCGCTATCCTGGACTGAGTGAATGGCTGCAGGCTGCAACTGACTTGAGACACCGCACCTTTGTCCACCCATTCATCGAGGAGGTCATGATCACCTGCGGCACAAACTTATTCGTGCTCGATTTCCACTTCTCGAGGAGCGGCAGAAACGCAAACGTGAGCCAGAACGGGCCGACGGCGTTGGTGGCGAAGACGTCAGTAAACTGCTCCTGGGTGACACTGTCGAAGTAGGCCGCCACGAAGTCTGCCGCGCTGGGTGGTGTCCCGTCGGCGTTTATGGTGGGCCGGCCTGGTGCGGGACTGCTGATACCAGCATTGTTGAACAGAACAGTGACCCCTTCAGGGGAGCGGGTGGATATTTCGGATGCGAGGCGTGTCGCCTCAGACTTTCAAAGTTGGACACAAGAAGTTGGGTCGAAAAAGGATGAATAGTCACACACCTTGAGTCGGATGTCCCCCTCGAGTCCGTGCATACGCCCGTTCGAGATTCCCTCTGTCGCTTCATTATACTTGGCGCAAACACTGCGAAGACCGTGAGCCGCGCATCGAAAAGGTGAGCCGCGCATCGAAAAGGACGGATAGCGTAGCGCACGCGTCAAGCTCCTGCTGTTTCGGCCCGACGATATAGACAGTGGCCCCATTTGCGACGAGGGTGGAAGAAATCATCATCCCAATGCCCTATAATAGTTTGTGAACAACTTGAAGCGGATGGATTCTTACAGAACCGCCGCCAGTGACGACAGCCACGACGCCCCGCAGGTCGAAGATGTTTTGTGCCTTGAGCTGTTCCAGAACTTTGTCTGCCATGTCGGTCAAGGGGGAAGATGCGATATGGCGGAGGTCATGACGTATGGGTGGAGTGACTTTGATAGAGGCTGGATTGGTACTTGGGAAATGCGGTGAGGTGTGGGAGGAACAAGACTGGCTTCCCATGCTGTCAAATGACTCATCCAAGTCATTCGTTGTTGATAAATTGATCCCGCTTGACCTTGACGACCTCCACCACGAGTTTCCCGCCTTGAACTTGCAACGGAAGCAGCACATGGCAACATGTAAGTCAGACGACAATATCAAGCACTTTTCTTGGTGACAGCATGCCAGCGGACAGATATATCGACTGCCCCTTCAAGTTGAGCAACACGCAAAGGTCCATAGATACGCCAGTCGACTGTCCTTTCCTATGAACACGCCTCCGACACAACTCCGTGGGAATCGTGCGAAACGCAGATTGATAGTCAACGCGCGCGGGAGTTGGACGCGCCGCACGGCCCCGCTGGGCTTCTAGTCCGAATCAACGCCCACGCGGGAGGAAACCAGCGCTCGCGACGAGTGCGCCGCAATTCGACGAATACTTAACAGAACAATCATCCATGCCGCGTTGCCTCACGCTGACAGTTAAGTTTTACATACACAGAGTTAAATTTACCGCAGCTGCAGGCTAACTTTTGCATAAGGATACCGCTGGTATCGCCGTCTGTCACAATGTACTATCGATGTGGACGGCTCCGCGACGCATATAGACTGAATCAAGACTGAAGGTACCGCAATGCGGCAGGCCGCGTGTTACGGAACCGCGCGGCAGTGGCTGCTAACATTTCCGCATCTCACAGAAGCCAGCGACTAAGCATGACGCCATTGCCCAGCGCTTCCCAAGAGCCGAAAGAGAGGCCGACTCGTGTCGTGTGGTGGCGGCATCGGGAGGTGAGGCTGCTAGCACTGGGGTAGTGAACTTGTGTCAAGAGGTCAAGGCTCGAGGGAGAAGCGCGCGGCCACGATCGGAGCGCACACGCGAAATGTGCCAGTGGGGCACAGTGGGGAAGACCTTTTTGGTGATCGGTCGACGCTGGCCATCCCGATGACATAATGATCGCCACACATCTTAACGCAGACCACCATCACTTTCGAGCTTCGACCACGGATAGGAACACAGCGGCTACTGGGAAAGCCCGTTCTGAACCGTAAATGCCTCTGCCCACGCCATACTAGAGTCTCTATCCTCTCCAACACCCACATTTCCTTGTCCGCAATGACCCGCTGACCACAGAAGGAGCGCGGCGAGCGCCAGAGGCCTTCTTTGTTCAAGTTTCACGCCGTGTCATCCTTCAGGCACTTGGGAGAAGTAACTAGCAAAGCCGGACACCGGCTTGTGGAATGCAACTCATTAACTCCGGGTTCTTACCTGCCACGTGTAAGTCGGCCGCTGCGATCGTGGTTTGGCTGATTTAAGGAAGGGCTCTGGAGAACAAATGGACAATCTCCGGCAACACTCGCCCAAGCTGTGGCTCGGTGAGGCGCGACCGAATCGTGGGTTACCGGGCCGTCATCTGCATTCGGCGAACATATCGCTTGATGTGTGCGTGGTCCGTCAAAACCGCGTCCGCAGAACTCAGGCGCGCTCGGCTTATAAAGAGCGCCATCTCACTCTGACACTGATAGGTCTCCCCCCAGTTTTCACCCGTCGTTCTCGCATCCATGCCCAGTGCCGCCAAACGACTGCGAGTAGGCATTTCGTCAGTCAGCCGCGGTTCTCTTCGAAGAGCGATGTCCTGACTTCTCATAACAGAGGAGCCGGTATCGGCGGCCTCACTCTAGCCCTAACACTGTCCCAATATCCTGATATCGATGTCGACCTCTTCGAAGCAAGCAAGTCCCTGCAAGAAGTCGGTGCCGGAGTGGCAGTATTCCCTCGGCCATGGAAGATCCTCCGACTGCTTGGTGTCGACCAGGAGCTGTTGAAAACGTGCGATGTAAAGCCGAAGGAAGGTCCAGGTCAGGCTACACGAAGTCCAATGCCGCAGGCTAAAGTTTATCAGTGCCTTCAATCCAGTATCGCAAAAGCAATCAGCCTGTGGGCCTACCGTTTTCGACGCTCGTCACCAATGGCACGTGCATCTTATCTTACCGAATTCAACTTCTTCTTCTAAGCCCATAGCCAGGTTCTATGATTACCTTGCATCGCGCCGAGTTCCAATCTGCGCTGCTTGGACGCCTGCCGAAGACATGTCGAATACACTACTCGAAACGCCTCCGAAGCTTCGATCAGCAACAATCTGGGCCCATCGAGCTTGCCTTCGAAGATGGGTCCAGGGCTACCTGTGACGTCCTGTGAGCTATACACGACATTTCTTGTCTCACCTCTTTCTTTAACTTGCCATAGAGTTGGAGCGGACGGGCTGAAATCCGCAACGAGGGCAGCGCTGCTCACAGAGCGCGTTAGCTGGATGCAAAGCCAAGGGCGCCCCGATGAGGCTGCTGACGCGGCCGAGTGTATCGAGCCGTGGTGGAGCGGCCAAATCGCTTACCGCGCCGTGATCCCTGCAGAACGCCTGCGGAAAGTCTCGCCCGGACACCCCGCTCTCACCCAGCCGCTCCAGGTAAGCATATTGCCGCAGTCTGCCGTTCAATGACCGGTCTTCTGCCAGTACTTGGGCAAGCGCGGGGTAACGTCTCATTCTCTACATCTGGCCTTGCGCTAACGGAGCAATTAGTTCGTCATGGCATATCCGATATCACAAGGGAAGATGGTCAACTTTGCCGCCTTCACGATGCGACATGACTTGGAAAACACCAAGTATGATGCACCGTGGATGGGCCCTGCGGACAAGTCGCACTTTGCTGGTCTATTCGCCGACTGGGAGCCCGACGTGCAAGCCCTCGTTCACGTATGCTCGTTATTACTGCGCTATTCCGCTCTCTAACCATTCTGCAGTGTGTCGAGAACCCCCTCTCGTGGGCCGTACATACCGTGAAACCGCTGCGCTCGTTTGTCTGTGGCCGCGTCGTTCTCATAGGCGACGCCGCTCACGCGATGACCCCACAACAAGGGCAAGTCTTAGTTCGTCCCGCCATAGTTGCGGCTGATATTTGACGCAGGTCAGGTGCGGGTCAGGCTTTGGAAGACGCCTATATTCTCGGCTTGCTCCTTGGACACTCGTCCACAAATATTCACACTCTCGGCCGCTCTCTCAATGCGTTCGATCAAGTTCGACGGCCGCGCGCACAGCAAGTTGCGCGAGTGTCCCGGCTGGCCGCGCGTTACTTCACGTTTGAGATCGACGGCGTGGGTGTCGATTTCTCCGCCGACTTTGGCCATCCTGCGGCGGGCTCCAACCCAGTCGGGTGGGAGACTTTGCAGCGGCTGCACCACGAAGTAGTGAAGAACTGGGAGTGGGGTACTATGTTTAGTTCAGCGACATTCTGATTTGCCTTGCTGACGATTGGAATAGCATGGAATACCTCGGTGGACGAATCCATTCAAGAGGCTCTGAGTATGCTGTAGACTTGATGGTCATCTCAGCGATTACACCGGCATATATCCATGAAATTAACGACGTGTTGAATCGATATCCATCCATGCTGTATCAAAACATTACTCATGTATCTCTGCCATAGAAAAACTACATCCCGTACTGTCAGACCACAGGCTTATTGGCCTCCTGTGCCGCTTTCCCGGCGTCGTGCCTCTCATTTCCTGTAGAAATTTACCACCATCAATCGTGACATTCAAGGGCAAACGGAGTCCTACCTAACAATTGTCTCTCCTTATCGCCCATTACCGCACCCACGACGGAGTCGATCTTCCCCTGCGCCCTGTCAAGTGTTCCTTCCACATAGGCCTGCGCCTCTGCTGCTTGGATCTCTGCCTCGCCGCGCATATGTTCAGAGTCGCGGCCCGATTTCTGCCACGAGGTAGCACCAAACATATGCCCGACCTGAAATCTCCAGTCAGCATGTCGGCAACGAAGGAACCGGTCGACGGGCCATCTCGACTATTGTTCCCTTTGTCGAATGGAAAGTGCCCCATAGCTTGCTGCGGTGATTGCATCAAGATCATCTGTGAAGTGCGGGTGCTAGTGGGAAGCGATTCACACCTTGGCTGCTGTGTTTGTGGGCTGGAGCTGAGATTGTTGGTAGATTCCATTACAGTTGTTTGCTGGAGGACCCGCTGGTATATATCATGAGTCTTGAAGATGGCGACCGCATCTTCTACACCTCTTTCCGCCCAGTAGAAGAGATTCACGCTGGGAGCACAGTGTCTCAATGCCTTGCAAAGGCCTTCGCCCGTAACTTGGCCCCTCCACCTTCGGAGATCCCAGATTGGGCCAAGGAGTTTCAGGACGTCTTTGACAAGGAGTCCTTCAACACGCTACCTGAACGAAGGGCTTGGGACCACGCTATTGAACTCGTTCCCGACGCAAAGCCTGCCAACTGTAAGGTGTATCCGATCTCTCCCCTCGAGCAACGCGAACTCGACGCGTTCATCGAGGAAGGGCTTGCTACAGGCCACATTTGCCCTTCGAAATCTCTGATGGCTTCCCTTGTCTTCTTCGTTAAGAAGAAGGACGGAGGACTTCGGTTTGTCCAGGACTACCGCGCCCTCAACGCAATGACGATTACGAACCGGTACCCCCTTCCGTTGATTAATGACCTTATCAACAGACTTAAGGGTGCCCGTTACTTCACCAAACTCGACGTTCGCTGGGGCTTTAATAACGTCAGGATTAAGGAAGGAGACGAGTGGAAGGCGGCCTTTCGGACTAACTGAGGGTTGTTCAAACCTTTGTTGATGTATTTCGGCCTGACAAACCCCCCCGCGACGTTCCAAACAATGATGAATGACATTTTCCCGGATCTCATCCTCTCAGGAGACGTTATGATCTACCTTGATGATATCCTTATCGCACATTCGGACCTCCGCGAGATCGTTCGTGAAGTCCTTCGGCGACTCCGAATGCGCAAGTTGTACCTTCGCAAGGAGAAGTGCGACTTTGAGAAATCGTCAATCGAGTACTTGGGGGGTCATTATCTCACATAACTACGTTGAAATAGACCCTGTTAAGGTCGCCGGAGTCTCTGCTTGGCCCCCGCCTGAAAACAAAAAGGACGTCCAGCAGTTTCTGGGCTTTACTAACTTCTACCACAGGTTCATTTGGGATTTCTCGGCCCTCGCGCAGCCTCTCTTTGCGCTTACCAAGAAGGACCAGAAGTGGACCTGGGGAGACGCCGAAGCCACCGCCTTTCAAGCCATCAAGGACCCGGTTGTCTCAGAACCCGTCTTAGCGATCCCGGATGACTCTCGGCCTTTCCGACTTGAAGCAGACAGCTCGGATTATGCAACTGGGGCGGTTCTTTCACAACAATCCGCCCCAGACGGAAAGTGGCACCCTGTAGCATTCTATTCCAAGAGCTTACATGATGTCCAGCGCAACTACGAGATTCACGACAAGGAGATGCTCGCGATAATCCGTGCCCGCAAGGAGTATCCGCATTTCCTTGAGGGCGCCCGCGCACCCTGTTGAGATTTGGACTGACCATAAGAACTTGGAGTGCTTCCGAAAGGCACAGCACCTCAACCGCCGGCAAGCCCGATGGTCGCTGTACCTCTCTCGGTTCGACTTCACGTTACACCACGTCCTCGGTCGCCAGATGGGCCGCCTGATGCCCTCTCCCGTCGGCCTGACCATGGCATCTCTGAAAACAACTCAGACGTCACCCTCTTGCGCCCCGAGCTTTTCCACGTTCGCGCGCTTGAGGCTGTCACTGTCTCTGGGCCTGGATCCGAACTTGTCCGCAACATCAAAGAAGCGCTATCCGGTCAGCCCGACCCGCGGTCATGGTAGTTGTCGACGCTCTCGGCAAATGCACTCACTTCACCAAGTGCCATACCACAGTAGACGCAGTTGGAGCTGCCCGGTTGTACTATCGGAACTTCGGGAGGGTATCACGGACCCTCTGAGAAGTACATCTTGGATCGTGGTTCGCAGTTCATTGCTGACTTTACGCGCGAACTCTGGCGCTTAATCGGTGGCAAGCCTGCCACGTCTACGGATTACCACCTGCTGACCGACGAACAAACCGAACCCGTTAACCAGGAGCTAGAGCAGTATATTTGGATCTTTATGAACTACCAACAGGACGACTGGGACGAGCTTATCCCTGCCGCTGAGTTCACCTATAACAATCATGTTCGCTCCTCCACTCAACAGGTACCCTTCATGACGGACACTGGTTGGCTCCCCAAATGGGTTTTGAACCAGGCGCCTGCTCTGAGCTGGAGTCAGTAAACGAGTTTCGTGATTGGATAGCGAACGGTGTCGGCGAAGCAAAGGCCGTACTCGTTAAAGCCAAGGACAAGTATAAACGGTACTACGATCGAAAGCGTTCGGACGCTCCGAGTATCCAAGTCGGTGACAAGGTTTGGCTCGACGCCTCTGACATTAGAACGACTCGGCCCTCCGAGAAGTTCTCGCATAAGCACCTTGGGCCGTTCAAGGTACTCGCAGAGGTTAGCAAGGGTGCCTACAAGCTAGACCTCCCCCCATGCTACTCCAAGCTCCATCCAGTCTTCCCCGTTGTTAAGCTCGAGCCTGCTAAGGACGACCCCTTTGACAGACAGCCTGGCTACGGCGAACCGCCCCCCGAACTAGAGGACGGAGTCCCCGAATGGGAAGTTGAGGAAATCTTAGATGCCAGGATAAGGTATAAGCAACTTAACTACTGCATCAGGTAGAAAGGCTACAATGCCTCACACGACTCACAGGTTCAGTTCAACCACGTCTTCACTCCAGACAAAGTCACAGACTTCTATCGGAGATACCCAGGTAAACCGCGACACATCGTCTCAGCAACTTTCGACTTGCTGCCCTTCCGTGTTATGCGTCGAGACGCCGCATTCAAAGGGGGGGTGATGTCAGGGGAACCCCTGCTTCAGTCTCCTTCGCACCATCCGAGCGCATCCAAGGCGCATCTGACCGGCGCCCCCTCAGACGCTCCGACCCACCCCGACCCTCGTCCTCGGCCTCCTTCGCCCACACAATCACCGATCCGTCAAAACCCTCCCAACAATCACCTTGGGACAGAGCCTGCGATGCCGCTCAGGCCTTCTGCGCTCTACGTCGGCAGTTACGGACGACCAGTATATAGTTGGCGCCCTAGCAGGCAGACCCTTAGAGTTTCTTCTCTTTGGATCCTCCCCTGCTAGGTTGGTCCCTCCGTGTATTTCCGTAGCTTTTATTCACGCTTTGGATCCTCCTGTGCTAGGCTTTCGTCAGAGTCTCCAGGGTTGCCCTTACAAAATGCCATATATTTTATAGTCACATATAGTACAGAGAAAGACTCTCTTTTCATCACAATGAAAGAGCAATTAAAAGACTGCCATTTTGTCCAACTTTCTGTCTACAACAAATTGTGATCTTTGTGTTTTTGCAAAAAGGCCAATTGAAAATCAGGGCTTTTGATGTGCCTTTTTGTGTTGCACAAAGAACAACTTTCATTGACACACAAAGACGTTCAGAAAGATTGTCTTTCTGTGCCTCTTTTGGACTATCACAAAGAACATCTTTGTGATTGCCCAAAAGGGGAAAGGAAAGGGTATCTTTCTGTACACCTTTCAGCTTGACTAAAACATTAGCTTTCTGTCAGGACTCAAGTCGCGCTCGCTCGCCAAGTCGCGCGAGCGAGGAGCCCCTCTAATATACCCCGTTGGCCTGCGCACGGACCTATCAACAAGGTCAGGTGAGGACATTTGTGCGTCGAGCAGCTGGAGAAAAATTTGGGTTTGGGGGCCAATCATGGGTGGGTTTTCGGAGACAAGTCTCTCTCTCGGGCATTCCGGGAATGGAGCAAGGTCATCTATTGAGCTAATTCTACCAAGTACATCCAGACACGCTGATTAACGACTCGACGCGAGGCGTTTGATCCCGTCAAAGACGCGTTTTCCAGGCTATTCTCTCCCCGCACAGTGACAGATTTGCAAGTCCGGCTGTACTTCGGCCTCTGGCGGGAAGTCCGTGTGTAAAATCAGCTGAGCCGATCTTGCGCGAAAACGAAGGCTCGCGCAAGACATAGCGCATGGTCATCGGGGCTGGCCATTCAGCCTAACAAAAGGGATTTAGGGACGGCAGCTGCGATGGCAAGGTGAGCACGGCGGGCCGTGAAGTGGTCCGGACCGTCCCGGCCACAGAGGTTTTGGACTGAATAAGACCATGGTTGCACGGAACGCCCGTGGTGCCGCGCAGATGATGAGTGGCCGGGCAATACACGGCCGGCCCATAGAGGTTGACTCGGAAGAGAGTAGGGAAAGAGGCGAGGGCTGGCATGAATGCGGGCGGCCGAAGGCCATGATGCAGTCGGGACGGAGATCAAAGCAGCGACGGCGCATGAGCCAGAAATGCCGGGAGCGGGATGGCCAAGACGACGGCGGATCCAGACGCAAGAGTACGGGTACAGAACACGCGGATTCCGGGTAGACGGCGCGGCCCGTGGAGGTGCATTGGGAAG